GGTGTGTAAATGGGGTCCACATGACACTCGGTAATCTATTTATATGAAACATGTATGAAACGTGATATTCTGTAATTAAGGATAACGATTCTATTTAAAGTTGACGTATTTTATAATTTATTTGACTTTACGTTCATTTACTTTTAATTAGTTAACTTAAGTTATTGTGAAATTTCAATATAGAGAGGCTATGGATGATACATGATCCTTGTTGTGCTAGTTTCATTATAAATAATTCATAAGCATAATTTTTTTCTGCAGAAGTACTGAAATCTTCCAAAAAATTGCTGTTCATGCACAAGGAAAATTTCTGGAGAACCTAGCAAAAACACTAATACCACGAATAAATAATAAAACACCAAAAACAGATCCCCCAAACCGAAAATCAAACACCATTGCAAGTGAGGAGCTCCACAAGATCAATCTTTTTCAGTTTTGAGTAACCCTTGATTCCATTAGACTTTGCAACTTCTTTCAATTCAGCGAGTTTCATTTTTTCAAATTTCTCTACTTCGTTGCAGTCTTCATTGTCTGTTGGTATTGGAGACCTTTGAGTGAATTGTAAAGGCGGCCTTATCGATTTAAGTTCAGTAGTTTGCTTCTCTTTCTGTGGAGAATCCTTCTGCAGGCTTACTAGTTTATCCCCTTTGTTCACCATAGTTTTTCCTGCCAGGGAGCACAAAGGAACTATGTTCAAACCAATAAAGATGACGGATTAACAATCACAATTATCTTCTTCAATTCACATGTTTAAAGGGTAACCTTGTAGTTGGTACCTAATTTTTAAGAAAGTGAGATTTACATGTTCACCACAAAGTATGTAAAAAAGTAGCATCATTGCACTAAAAGAAACCGCAATCAATACACAGGCAATCAAGGTCGAACAAAAATAGGCTAAAGGTGCCACCACAAATGACGGCAATATGACACTGAAACAAATAAAGATGTTACCAGAACATAGGCTTGACGAGCTGTGGTTTATTTTTTTTGGCATACTAATCAGGTGGAAAGGAGAGTGTTACCATAGGGGTAAATCTCCAGGGTAAATGATTCATCATGGATGCCGAGATTTCTCAAGCTGCGGGTCTCACAATCGAAAAGCCGCAGGTCACCATTAGAGTCCAGAATGAGCACTTTATCATTCTTGTAGAGACCAATTATCCTATGTAGAGCATCACAATCGGCAGGAAACTCAAACTCGTACACACAGGACCAATCGTCATTCTCCCACACCCAAATCTCAAAACAAGGCTTATGCATCCCCCATTTATAAAAAATCGTAAGCAACAACCGCGAGCAAACCGTGAAACTCAGCAGGAACAACTCTCACATTGACCCAGATTCTTATTCTTTTCGGCATAAGGATAAAAGCAGGCGGAAACTTCTCGTTAGCAAAGTCAAACGGAATAATAGCATAAGTTTCCGAGTGAAGATGACAAGCTAGCCAGTAATAGAAGCCATTTATGTGAAGAGCAAGGTTTTCAACGGGTTTGAACTCAGGATCATAAGGATATGGAATCTCCTTCCACGAACCGGTTTGGAGGGACAACACCTCGGACTGGATTCGATAGTTGTATCCCTCATAAACGAATTATTGATATCTGACCACCTTATAGTCGCCGGATGCACGAGGATCAAACCCCACACCAACACCCCAAGATATACTGAATATTGGGAAAGGCAGGGGAGACCTAAGTGCAGAAAGAGGAAGGGGCTTCGTCTCGCCAGTCTTCGGGTCCCACAGAAGGTCGTACGGAGGTCCAGGCACTTTTTGACATGTCAACAACATCCATTTGTATCTGGAACACGCTCGAACGATATAATCGGCGTTCATATGATGTCTATAGTAATTTTCAGCTCTGAGTAACGATAAGTAGGGAAGAGTATCCGGTACCACTGGGAACGAGTTGTTTTCCGTTGAGATTACGCAGTGATCGCGGGTTGTTTCGTTGAGTACATATTGCACAATAAGCATGAGATTTTTGTTGTTGTTGTTGTCATGCTGCTTCAAATTGGGGGAAAGCGCAGGCGCCGCAGTAGTGCTAGGAAAACGATGGAAAATAGTAGAGCTGAGATTTAGGGGGAGAAATTTGAATTTGGATTTGGTGTTAGCGAGTAGATTGCCGGTGGCTGAGAGGATTCTCATGGTCATGGTTAAGCCTGCCGAAGAAGAACGACAAATTACAAATTTTGTATATCAACTATTGTATTTCAACACTCATTCTAAATTTCCNTATGAGGAGTTTGAGTTTTTGTGTTTGATAGAACAATTTAAAAAGTTAGCTGTTGAACCATTTGAAACAAGGTAGTATTTGAGATTTTGGAACACCAATTGATCAGTGTATTTTCTCAATCATGTTATACACAGTTTAGGTGAAGTTAGTATAAAGTGTTAGTGAGATGAAATATTAAATATTTTACAAGTTAGGCATAACATGCTCATATTTAATGTTCTGGCTAAAAAAAACAAAGTTAATTAAAATATGTGAAAAATAGATTAAAACCCTACAAAGGCTTAAACGGACATAACCTGTGAAAGTAATTCATTTAATCTCATGCATCGCACGGGGTACGTACTAGTTTACCATTAAACTGTAGAAATAATTCATTTGATTGTTGAAATTGGACCAATGCAAATTAAAGAGGTTGATGGCGTTCAAACACAAATGATTGTGTTTTCTGTCAATGATCGGTAATAACAATCTTTATTTTATTTATTGTATCTTTTTTTTTTTCTAAAAATCATTTTAATAATTTATCACAATAATCACGATGCTTCGAAATCTTACAAGTAGACCGCCCCGAGAATACTTGAAAATTGGGTCAATAAATTTTGTTGATACACGCCACTACTGTCCATCCGATATCCTCGTTGTATGTGTTGATTTAATGACTTGTAAACTGGTGTAGAAGTACCCGTGAAAATATGACCCCAAAAGTATGGAATGAGAGAGTTAATTACTTGTAAACTGGCGTAGAAGTAATATGACCCCAAAATTATGGAATGAGAGAGTTAATTATTTGTAAACTGGTGTGCAAGTACCCGTGAAAATATGAACCCAAAAGTATGGAGGGAGAAGAGAACTCAAACAAATATGCTGTGCATGTGACTGATAGTGGTATATACCCACAGTAAGTCAGTAACTAAACCAACAATCAATTGTTATTGTTTTGTTTCATTCAAGACAAATCTGAGTATCTTACTACTCCCCCCAAGTAAGATGGAAGAAGGTGGGAGTCGAAAGCAATAAAAGGAAGGATTTCTTTGACATTTTACCCAAATTATTCTTTAAACCTTCCTTCACAAAAGGAGACTCCGGTCAGCTAATAAGTCTTGGAATCCAAAGGGGGAACATAACACAACTCTTACATCATAACATTACGGGCCAGAATATCTCAAAGGAAAAACAAACTACACACGTAAAATGGTTGGTTTCCATTTCAGATGGAGGAATAGTTTTCTAACCAGATATCACAAAATAATCAAAAGGGGGAACATAACACAACTCTTACATCATATCATTACGGGCCAGAATATCTCAAAGGAAAAACAAACTACACACGTAAAATAAAGGCCGCCGATCAATCATTTTTTACGTGCTCTGGACATAAGGAAAAACCCTGAGAGAAGAACCACGAATGCCGAGATCTTTCAACTCCCGGGCATGACAATCGTAAAGCAGTAGGGAACCCTTTGAATCCTGAAACAGAGCTTTATCATTATTGTAGAGGCCCAATACACGCTCAACACAAACATCATCATCATCGAAAGTGTAGGTGGAATAAAGAGACCACTTGTTCTTTGATTTCCATACCCAAATCTCGAACCCAACACGATCACAGAAAATAGCGGCGAGTGACCCATGAAACTCGGCAATGCAAAAACAAGACATGTTAAAGAGCCTTTTGCTCTTAGGAATATTAGGGATGAGAGATGGAAATTTCTCATTAACAAAGTCAAACGAAACAACAGCGAGATCTTCCAGGGTATCATCTTTGTCCGACAGAGCTCTATCCTCGGAACATAACCGGCTAGCTATCCAATAGGTAATTCCATTTATGTGAACGTATTTGCCCATAAAGGGTTCCATTTTGGGAATATGAGGATTCGGAATTACCTTCCAAGAACCAGTTTTCAGCGAGAACAACGCAGCGTGGGCTTCGTCATCATAGTACTCCATATGCCCAAATTGGATCACCTTATAGTCCTCAGATGAAGGATCAAACCCTATGCCCCAGCCACACCAATCGAAATCCAAGCTTGCTCCATTACGCAGGAGCGGCGGCCAAACAAATGAAGGAAGGGATCTCACCTCGTAGGTTGTAGGATTCCACAAGAGGTCATATGGAAGTTGACTAACCGCTTTACACGCCAAAAACATCCATTTGTTGCAGCTTGCTAGGACATCGTAATAAGCTTGAGCTCTGAGGATAGACAAATTGGGGAGATTTTCGTGCACTACTTTGAACGAGCCGCCTTCGGTTGAGATTACGGAGTAATCGCGGGTTTTTGTTTTGCTGCTGCTCACATGCTCCACCGCGAGCATGAGACTGTTGCTGGTGATGTTGGGCTTCAGATCGGGCGGATGCCACCACGATAGTGCCAGGCAAGTACCGCCGTGTTGGGAAAAATACGCTGAAATTTCCATGAAATCGGATCTATAAAAGTGAAATAAAAATAAAATTGGACACACCAAATTGATAACGGAGTTCGGCCAATAATGCCTACGTCTCCGGACTACTGCAGATATTTTATTGGGAAAAAGAAATACACTCGTGTTTACAAAACACTCTCAAACTCACTCACAATTCACAACTCGAAAATACATACAAAGGCTAGATTATTTTTTTCTAGCTCACTCCCTCTTTTTCTCTCTCGTATTTTGGTTGTTCTTGGTGTGTTTTCATATGCTCGTTCCTTTCTCTATTTATAGAGAAAAATTGCTGCAAATGTCAAAGAAGGCAGCACCCAAAAATCAATGCAATACGGCTGCAAATTAATGCAATACGGCTGGGACTTATCATCATCAATTTTCAGCAGCTATTTGTCCTTCAAAGTCCACATTTGTGGCTGGACACAACAATCTCCCACTTGAGGACTGATTTCAATCTGTCCTCACACCTTGATTAACTGCAGTAGTCTCCTCCGGTCTGTTATTCTAGCAAACCAACTGAAGTTGAGCACAACTTCAGTTTGTCAATGGTCACCACCTTCGTTAGCATATCTGCAGGGTTCTTGCTTCCTACAATCTTGTTCAAAGTCAACACTTCTTCCTCGAGAAGAGATCTGATGAAATGATATCGTATGTCAATGTGCTTAGTTCTGGAGTGAAACACTGAGTTCTTTGCCAGATGTATTGCACTCTGACTGTCACTGTGCAAGACACTCTCTTTTTGAGTGAGACCCAACTCTGCTAACAATCCTTGAAGCCATATCAATTCTTTACTGGCTTCTGTCACTGCTACATACTCAGCCTCTGTAGTGGATAGAGCAACAATCTTTTGTATCCGCGACATCCAACTAACAGCTGTAGCTCCGACAGTGAAAACATAACCGGTGGTGCTTCTTCGGTGATCAACTTCACCTCCAAAGTCTGCATCTACATAGCCCTGTAACTTTAGATTTCCTTTTCTAAAATACAGACATTTTTCTGTTGTGCCCCGTAGATATCTCAAAATCCATTTGACTGCTTCCCAATGAGCTTTTCCTGGTTTTGACATAAACCTGCTCACAACTCCCACTGCATGGCCAATGTCTGGCCTCGTACAGACCATCGCGTACATCAAACTTCCAATGGCTGAAGCATAAGGTATCTTAGCCATGAACTCTTCTTCTTCCTTTGTTTGAGGAGACTGATCCTTGGATAGACGAAATTGGCTGGCCAAAGGTGTACTGACTGGTTTGGCCTTGTCCATATTAAATCTCTGCAAGACACGGTTGATGTACTCTGCTTGAGATAACTGCAAAACTCCCTTTTGCTTATCTCTCGTGATTTGCATTCCAAGAATCTTCCTTGCTGGGCCTAAGTCCTTCATGTCAAATTCTTTTGACAACTGCATCTTCAATTTTCTGATGTCTTTCATATCTGATCCTGCTACTAACATGTCATCAACATAAAGTAGCAAGATGATATAGCTGGACTCATACTTCTTGAAGAAACAACAGTGATCGGCATTGCACTTCTGGAAGCCTTCCTTGTGCATGAAGCTTTCGAACTTCCTATACCACTGTCTTGGAGCTTGTTTCAGGCCGTACAAGCTCTTCTTCAATTTGCACACCATATCCTTCTTTCCATCTGAAAATCCTTCAGGCTGGTGCATATAGATCTCCTCATCTAGGTCTCCGTGAAGAAATGCAGTCTTCACGTCTAATTGCTCTAGGTAGAGCTCTTCACTAGCCACAATGCTTAACACAGTCCTGATAGTATTGAGCTTTACAACTGGAGCAAAGATTTCAGTATAGTCAACTCCTTCTTTCTGCTGAAATCCTTTGACAACCAGTCGGGCTTTGTATCTCCTGGAACCATCATGGTCTTCCTTCACTCGATACACCCATTTGTTGTGAAGTGCTTTCTTTCCCATAGGTAACTTGACTAGTTCCCATGTCTGATTTGATATCAAGGACTTCATCTCGTCCTTCATGGCAAGCTCCCACTTGCTAGCATCCGTGGTTTGACAAGCTTCCATATAACTTTCAGGCTCCCCTCCATCAGTCAGCAGCATGTAGTCCATGTATCTCCTGTTAGGCACATGGGGCCGAGAGGACCTTCTCAATACAGGAGCCGGAGTAGGAGGTTCTGATTGCACATCACTTTCTTCATTTGATTCCTCTGACTGAGGACTCCTCATTATAGGACTGTCTGGGATATCTTCCACCTCAGCATAAACTGGCCCACTCGCTTCTGAGTTGCTGGCACCTGTATTATGCCGGTCCTTGTACATCACTCTTTCATTAAAGATGACATCTCTGCTGCGGATCATCTTTTTGTTTTCATCATCCCATATGCGGTAGCCAAACTCATCTTCACCATAACCAAGGAAAGTACATTTCTTTGATTTTGGATCAAGTTTGTTTCTACCTTGATCACTGATGTGCACATATGCTACACACCCGAAAACTCTAAGATGTGAGAGTTTTACTTCTTTTCCGCTCCATACCTCTTCTGGTAACTTGTGATCCAGTGGTACCGATGGACTTCGGTTGATCAAGTAAGTTGCTGTGTTGACTGCTTCTGCCCAGAACTGCTTTGGTAGGCCTGACTGCACACGCAAGCTTCTGGCTCTTTCAGTCAACGTTCGATTCATACGCTCAGCTACACCATTGTGTTGAGGCGTACCAGGCACGGTTCTCTCCATTCTGATCCCGTGCTCATAGCAAAACTTCTTGAATCTGGTGGTTACATATTCACCACCATTGTCGGATCTGAGCTTCTTGATCTTCAAGCCTGTCTCATTTTCCACCATAGCTTTCCAAATCTTGAAAGCTTCAAATACTTCTGACTTGTGTTTCAGAAAGTAAACCCATACCTTTCTGGAGTGATCATCGATAAAAGTCACGAAGTATTGCTTCCCACCAACGGATGGGACAGTGGTTGGACCCCAAACATCAGAGTGGACGAGCTCAAGCTTCTCCTTCTTTGGAGTTCTTCTACTTGTTTGAAAGCTGACTCTCTTCTGCTTTCCAAGTATACAACCTTCACACATGTCAATTTCTATTGACTGGAGGCCTGGTAATTTTCCTTTTGAGTGAATGATCTTCATCCCTTTTTCACTCATATGCCCAAGTCTTTGGTGCCATAGATTGGGACTTTCATTTGCTGCAACTGCAATCAGATGACATGCTCCTGAGGTCTTGTAAAGAGTACCACTCTTTTTGCCTCGAGCAATTGTCATCGCACCCTTTGAAATCTTCCAATCATCACCATGGAAGATTGTCGTGTAGCCTTCACTGGCTAGCTGGCCCACGGAGATTAAATTCTTCGTCAGGTCGGGAATATGTCTAACATTTTTCAATTCCCATACAGACCCGCTCAGCTTGATTTTTATTGCACCTTTCCCTACAACCTCACATGATTGCTCATTACCAAGGTAAACTTTACCAAGGTTACCAGGAACATAATTTTCGAGTAGTTCCTTCTGTGAGGTAGCATGAAAGGATGCTCCAGAGTCTAACACCCAAGACTCTTCTCTGTTCTCCAAAGAACATACCAGCATATCTCCTCCTGAGGATGAGGCAACATTTGCTTCTTCTTTTGCCTCCTGACCCTTCGGTGCACTCTTGCACTGGTTTCTGTAGTGCCCGGTCTTCCCACAATTCCAGCACTCGATCGACTTCGAGGTTTGGGAACTACGATGATTTCTGGACTTGGATCTTCTTCCTTTTGATTTGTTGTGTCTGCTTTCTTTGGTTGAACTTCTTCCTCTTGACTCTGTATGCAATACAGAAGAGGTCGATGGTTCACCCGACTCTCTCCGCCGGATCTCTTCACTGAGAACCAAATTTTGAACATCATCAAATCTCAACTTATTGTTTCCCGATGAGCTACTCACAGCCGTGACCGTAGCATTCCAACTTTCTGGTAGGGAAGACAAAAGTATTAAAGCCCGTACTTCATCATCGAACTCGATCTCAACTGAACTCAACTGGGTTGTGACGGTGTTGAGCTCATTGAGATGATGTGCCACCGAAGCACCTTCGGTCATCCGAAGGTTGAACAATCGCCTCATCAAATGAACTTTATTTGAGGCCGATGGTTTCTCGTACATGTTGGAAAGAGCCTTCATGAGGCCTGCTGTCGTCTTTTCTTTTGCAATGTTAAAAGCAACATTACGGGATAACGTCAGCCGGATGGCTCCAAGAGCTTGTCTGTCAAGGAGACTCCATTCTTCCTCCTTCATGTCCTCTGGCTTCTTTCCTGTGAGTGGTTGATACATATTCTTCTGGTACAGATAATCCTCGATCTGCATCTTCCAGAAGCCAAAGTCCGCACCGTCGAACTTTTCAATTTTCATTTTTCCTTCGTCTGCAGCCATCACTTCAACTCTGATCTGACTTCTCTGCCGGATCGTTTCTGTAATTTTTGTGAACTACCGTGTTTTATAACACGTCGGTAGATAAATTTGTAGCGCCGACAAAATTGGTACTATTCACGTTTTTCAACGGAATAGTAACACCACACAAAAAAATACAGAATTAACAATCTGGCTCTGATACCAGTTGTTGGGAAAAATACGCTGAATTTTCCATGAAGTCGGATCTATAAAAGTGAAATAAAAAATAAAAATTGGACACACCAAATTGATAACGGAGTTCGGCCAATAATGCCTACGTCTCCGGACTACTGCAGATATTTTATTGGGAAAAAGAAATACACTCGTGTTTACAAAACACTCTCAAACTCACTCACAATTCACAACTCGAAAATACATACAAAGGCTAGATTATTTTTTTCTAGCTCACTCCCTCTTTTTCTCTCTCGTATTTTGGTTGTTCTTGGTGTGTTTTCATATGCTCGTTCCTTTCTCTATTTATAGAGAAAAATTGCTGCAAATGTCAAAGAAGGCAGCACCCAAAAATCAATGCAATACGGCTGCAAATTAATGCAATACGGCTGGGACTTATCATCATCAATTTTCAGCAGCTATTTGTCCTTCAAAGTCCACATTTGTGGCTGGACACAACACGCCGGAGGCTGGAACATCGCGGACAATCGAAGACGAGTAACTTGTGGAGAGGATTTTTTTAAATTTGTATCTGGCGTTGGCCACAAGATTAGTGGTGATTTTGAGGATTCCCATGGCGGAAGATGATAGCCTAGCCGCCGCACACCCCTGTTTGAAAACCCAAGCTCTCTCTCTCTCTTTACAAATTAAGGCTATTTCATAATATACTCGGTTTAATAGATAGTTTGTTTATGAAATTTTTTTGTTTTGTTTGGATTTTTTTGTTTGGTTTGGTTAATTTTGAAAAATGTGGTATGGTTAGGTGTTAGTGAGTATATTAAAATAATATTTAAAGTAAAATAATTAAAATTGATTTGATGTAAAGTAGGAGAATGATGATTTGAAATGATAGTTAGTTAAAATAATGTGAGTGGATGAATAGTGAATTAAGGTTGATGTTGTGTGTATGAATGATTAATTGATATTATTTAATTACATTGATAATATTGATGATAGTGGGATTAAGTTAAAGTTGAGTTAATAAAAGTGATTGAGTGAATTGATAATATTGATAATATTGTGTGAGTGGATTGAGTTAAAATGTTGGAAGTTTTTTTAAAAATTCTTGTAAACAAACATGGCCGCACGTCATCCACTACTTACAAAAAAAGAAATAAATATGTCACTTTACATATATACTTAACTGTTAAATAATTATAAAAATAAAAATGTTAAACAAAAATTTATTTGTACATATACCTAATCTAACATAAATATGTAGATTATTACAAAATATTAAATATTACCCATCACACTCACCTTTATTTCATCTGCCTCTTTCCCATCTCTTGAGCCAAAATTTCGATTGTTCACTTTTTTTTTGAAAAATAAAAATAAAAATTGCAAATCTCCTCCACGACACAAACCCTCGCCGCCTCACACCCACCTCATCGAGATCCCAAATCCCTCTGCGACACCAGCCTTCGTCGTCGTCCTCAAGTAGGCTGCTGCCGCCACCGCACAAGACGAAGACCGCAGCCCACGTCATCCTCACTCAAGGAGCTTTGGGTTGAGCGCAAGGTAATTAGAACCGTCGTCAAGTCGAATAGGAAAAGAGGCCGAGTTTCACCATTCGTCGTCAATCCAAGGCTGGACTTTCAGTCTCCGCCGTACGCCAAGATGGAGACTCCAACAACGATCATAGGGGTTGCGACCCTATCGCCTGGTCTGTTGCTCAGGTTGCGGCTCCACACAGACAACGTCGATGTCCCGATCTGCAGCTGCTGCCATCACAAAAAACTCAATACGGCAAAAATTCCAAGTTTATATTTCTAGGGTTTGGGACGTGAACGTGGGGCTGAATTTGCGGGTTTATGATTTGAAGTTGAGGGTGTACATTTTTATATGAATTTTGGATTTCAATATTTATTTGACGATTATTAATGGTTTATGTTTGATATATGAATACAATTAGTCATGTAACGATATTTGATAATATAAACATGTTATAAATTACAAATAAACAAAATATAAACTTAAAAGAGACAACAGTCAGCAATTTTACAATTAAAATATTTGAATGAAGATTTAGAATAATAGCATGAAAGAGGAGATTGACGATTTAAGTCGATTGATTTATCTCTCTTTCTTGAAGCCGACGAAATTGGCGGTGGTTGGGCTAATGTTGCCTGAGAAGATGGCGGCGGTGAGGAGAGAAGAAAGAGGGCCGATAAGTTTCATTGCCAAAGAACAATTTTTCGTATATGTTGCATTTATACTCAATATCATATTTACAAAAAGTACACATTAGCTAAAACATACACACGATAAAACTACTAAATAAAAACGAAACAAAAAACATTAATATAAATATCCAAAACCAATATAAACAATAATCAACAAAAAAAATAAAAAAAAAATTGATCATTTGTCGTCTCATATTAATTTCCTCATCAACAAAAAAAATAGGTTAATATATCAAACATAAATTATAAATAAATATCAGATGAACATTGAAAACAGATCCCATCGAAACTATCCGCATGTCGCCAACTCGAAAGCTCCACCACCAATGGCAGCCGACCGGGATTCTTCAACTCCATCACTCTCCACCCGAGAGACTTTTGCGAAGAGGAGCTCCTTGCGTGGGCCCTCTGTTTGTCCCATTTTTGTGTCTTTATTTTGTGTTTATTTTCTTTCTGTTTTCCCCCATTTGTAGGTTTTTGTAGTTTATTTGGTCCATCTCGTTCGTTTTGTGTTTTTGTCTTTAGTTTATATTTTTGTATCTTTTTGCCGTGTTTTGCTTTGTGTTTTTCTGTATTTGTGTTTTCAGGAGGTAGGTTGTGCCAGTCATGGATGAGACGATTTGAGCCAAGTCCTTGATATCGAGAATACCCGTTGCCGAGCCAGAAGACCAAAGGAAGGCCAGAAAATCGGACAGAAACAACGCGCAGAATGAGTCGCGACTCGCGAGTGGTGTCGCGACTCGCGAATGTGTCGCGCCTCGCGGGGAAAACTGAGGCTAAAGGAGATTTCCGAAGAACGAGTCGCGACTCGCAAGTCAAGGTCGCGACTCGCGAGATGGAGTCGCGACTCGCGAGTCAGGTCGCGACCAAGCCCCTGAATTTAAAGAAGAAGACGACGCGCGACTCGCGAGGAAGTCGCGACTCGCGACCAAGACAGAGACCATCTCGCGACTTAAGTCGCGAGTCGCGACTTAACCGGCGCGTTTTTCGAGGAGCGGGATTTTTAGAGCAGAATTTGACCCTAGGGTTCATTATTCACCATTCCAACTTTGTTTTTACGTTCCCTCTGGAGAAAAAACCATTCCTTTTCTTTCTTTCGCACTTTTGAATTGTTTTGCTCTTGGGATTTGATTTTAGAGATTAAAAACCTCTATTATCTTGCTTTGGATTCGGATACTATTGGATTGGGTTCACAATTTTCATTAATCGTAAGTATTTTTCTTCAATTCTTTCATTGATGATGATGTCTTGGGTTATGAATGTTTGCGTGATCAAATCCATTATGAGTAGCTAAATCCATCTGCTAGGGATAGGGGATAATTGATTAGGTTCAATTATAATTGCTTGTTCTTAATTGCTCATATCTATGCGAGTTGAGTTCAATTTAGGGTTAATAGATTGATCACCTATTTAACCTAGTTAATCATTGTTTAGAACCGAAAGGGGAGACATTGGTCGATTTAGGCTCGTTTAGAATAGACTTGTTCGTCAAAGTATTGTCTATGAGTTGCTGGATTTGATAGTCAATCGTATATGTTCACTCTCTTGTTACGAAGAGTTATTGAGAGTGAACCTCTAAACGATAGACGATTCACTTCCTTTAACCGAGCAATTGGTTGCCGGTAGTTGTGTAAGAACCGAAAGCAGTTGTCCCCGATTCCCTAGCTCTTTAAATTCTCAGTTAATTCGTTACTGTTCATTTCGTGCTTTATTTAATTTAAAGTTGGTAGTTGATAATTGAAACCCAAATCATTGAATTAGATTGTTTAGGATTTTTATCTTCTTTTGTGATTGAATAATCGAACAATTATATCCGGCTAACCTTCCTTGCGATACGACCCGGGGAACGAATCTTTCGATTCTACTCCGGTTAAAATACTTACAACACCCTCCTCCCGAGGTCGGCAGCCACTAGCCTACCGTTATCCACCCAAACCGTGCGGGCCCTTGTCCAGGTCGAGGCATTTGCCCTACGAGCTAACGACCTAAAGTTCGTGGCCAACCAGTTTCGCCCCCTCCACAACAAGCGGATGCGACACATTTCTTTGTTTTACTCCCGCCACTGGCACACGTGGACCGCCTGCTTCATCCATGCAGCCTGGCGTAGGTACAAACAGAGGAAGGTAGCCAAAGATCTTGTCTAGATGGAATTGTCAGTGGCGGCGGCCCAGGCGGGTGGTCAATTTTCGCCATTAATTGTGCTATTATTCGGGGGAAGAAGATAATGAAGATTTAAAACAATGACGTGAAAGGAGAAAGAAAATTGAATGTGGAAAGTGACATCCAATTGAATTAGACAGTTACTAATTGCATGCAACTACCTTAAGAATTATCTTTAAAAAAATGTATGTTAAAATTTGTAAATATATGATATGTATACAAATATTTATGTCACATTTTGTATGTTTGCAGATAAAAAATTACGCTAGTATATATGCAATAATTTATGTTTTAGTTAGTGCATAAGGTAATTTCTCAAATGAATGACTTTATCTACATTTCTACTACAATTATTTTTTTAATAAATATGACCCATTTTGCGATCTTTTTATAATTTAAATTTATAGGTAGATGGCACATGCACAATCACTATATAAACACCACATTGGTGTGATCATTGAACCAAACATCGACAGGAAACAATTCATCCCACGAATCTAACTTTTGAATCAGTTTTTCCATCACCATTCAAAATGATTTTGGTCTTTGAAAAAATCAAAGATACAAAAGAACTAATAGGCCAATGATCAAGCTACGAATCCTTATAATGTTCCAACGCATTAAAGACGAGAGCAATTATCGAAACGTTCTTAAGCTTATATTTCACGATCCGGAGGTAATTTGTCCTTATATTATTATTTATATGCATCATTTTATGCTACATTTTTTATGATTTTTTTAATTTAATTATTGAATATGTACTTTCTTAGGAAGGATGAATTATTGGTATAATTCAACCCATCAATATTCCACAATTCATCGACGAAATTGAAGAAGGTGACACTTATATCTTTAAGCTACCAAGTGAAAAGCAATATTGACATATACAAATCGACACTTCCACTTGGAGGATCATTATTAACGGCCAAACAAAGTTTCACAAGTGGAAGGATGAATTAATATAGTTTTGTACATTCTAAATTTTTGTTTATTTTTATTTCAAAATTTTATATGTTTAATTCAAAATAATGAAATCTATTATAACCATTTAATATGATGAATTGTCTTATATTTCTGTAGATGTTATTGGATTGGTGGTTTCTATACAACCTATTCAAATGAAGATTACCAAGGGAATTCTCACCCAAATGATCGTCTTCTCTTTTATGAACTTAGAGTCAAAATCCTTACAATTATACATTCATATCGTTGATATATTAGTATATATAATAATTGTTTTTAATGTTTTTTTAACATATAAAATACCTTTTAATTTTTATTTTGAGAAAATGAAGAACTCTACGCTTTGGGGCCAATATGTTGATTGCTTTTGAGCATCATTACCAAAATCAAGAAAAGCCTTTTGTCCTGATCATGCAAATGTATCGTGGAGTGAGGAGGTATTTCATTAATTTTGATATAATTAAACTCAATAAATAACTCAACATTTTTTTTTATTTTGATCGGCTAATCCAATATATTTTTTAATTAAGTGAAGTTCGAATAATCACATCAAAGAATGTGACCCTACTTATCGGTGTTGATGTTCCCACGATTTCAGATTTTTGTAGGTGGTACATATCGTTTGGTAAAGAAGTGTTCAATAATATATAAATTTTATTTTCATTATATTTAGTAATTAGTAATAGCATGATCTTTCCTTTATTATATAATTTGCGTTTTAATTCAAAAATGCTTTTTAAAAGAAACGAAAATAATTAAGACCCGTGCTATGTACTAGTTCGAGTCAATAAAATATACATGCCATTATTATCCATTTGTTATCCTAGTATGTGCTGAGTTAATTACACTTGTAAACTGGTGTACGAGTACCCATGAAAATATGACCCCATAAGTATGGAATGAGAAGAGTTAATTACTTGTAAACTTGGTGTAGATGTACATTGTACCCGTGAAAATATGACCCCAAAAGTATGAAGCTATAATGAAGACCAACGAGATAAATGTGAAGATAGTAGCCCTACCTAAGATGATGTTTTATGGAAGATAAGGACAGAGACTAATCCAACCCAGCTATAAGAGGTCTTGCAATTCCTTGATTATCATTTCATATGGTAGGATTATTATTTTTCTAACTTGAGCTCATAAAATCGATCGTAACTCTTTATCAAATGACAGCCTCAATTTGTCACACAGGAAACATTAACGAAATTCAGAAATTCACTAAACTTGCAACCAATCACCTTATGTTAAAAACTAATATCATTGAACTAAAAGAAACTGCAATCAATAAACGGGCAGTCAAGGTCGAACAAAAACAGGCTAAAGGACCATTACGCATAGCTAATAAGACCGCCACAAATGACACAGATACTAATCAGGTGGAAAGGTGAGTGTCACCATAGGGGTAGACCTGCAGGTTAAATGAGTCATCATGGATGCCGAGATTTTTCAAGCTGCGAGTCTCACAATTGTAAAGCAGCAGGTCACCATCGGAGTCTTGAATGAGCACTTTATCATTCTTGTAGAGACCAATTATTGCATGTAGAGAACCATAATAAGTAGGAAGCTCAAACTCGTCCGCACAGGACCAATTGTCATTCCCCCACACCCAAATCTCAAAACGAGCCTTCATCTTATAATTCCTATTCGCAAATGGCTTATTAAAATTGTACACAACAACCGCAAGCGAACTGTGAAACTCAGCAGGAACAAATCTCATATTTTTCCCAAGCTTTTCGCTTACGGGCACAGGGATAAGATCAGGCAGAAACTCCTCATTAGCAAAGTCAAACGGAATAATAGCGTAAAGATTCATTTCATTCATATGAGTAGCTAGCCAGTAATAGAAGCCATTTATGTGAAGACCAAGGTTTCCAATGGGACTGAAGTTAGGATCATAAGGATACGGAATCTCCTTCCAGGAACCGGTTCGGATAGACAACACCTCGGAGCGGATTTGAGAGTTGAAATTTTGAGATCTGACTACCTTATAGTCCCCCGATGCACGAGGATCAAACCCCACGCCCGAACCCCAACATACAGGGCATACTGGAATTGGAGGCCGAATTGCAGAAAGAGGAAGGGGTTTCTTCTCGTCGCTCGTCGGGTCCCACAGAAGCTCGTACGAAGGTCCAGGCACTTTTTGACATGTCAACAACATCCATTTGTGGTTGGAACACGCTCGAACGACATAATCGGCGTTCATACAGTTATAGTAATTTTCAGCTCTGAGTAACGATAAGTTGGGAAGAGTACCTGATACCACTCGGAACGAGTTGTTTTCCGTTGAGATTACACAGTGGTCGAGGGTTGTTACGTAGTGGTCGCTGGTTTTTACGCAGTATGTTATCATAAGCATGAGATTTTTGTTGGTGTTCTCATGCTGCTTCAAATTGGGGGAAAGCGCCGGCGCCACAGTAGTGATAGGAAAACGATTGAAAATAGTGGAGCTGAGATTTGAGGGGAGAATTTTGAATTTGGATTTGACGTTAGCGAGTCGATTGGCGGTGGCTGAGAGGATTCTCATGGTTATGTCTGCAGAAGAAGAACGACGAACAAACAAACTTGGGGTGTTGGTCTTAAATTTGTTTTCTATGAGTGCGGCCCGCCCGACTAGATGAGGCCCGCGACCCAAATGGAATTTTCTTGAGTATTGCCGATTATTCGATCTCGCTCCAGGGTGAGATTACTTTTCATTTGTACAGTATTTAGAGTATCTCCAATCGGTTGTGCAATACTCCACTACGTTCAGTTACTTTTAATTAGTTAATTAAATTTATTTGTTATTATGTATACTTATCATTTTACAATAAATTATACTTTATGTCTTTTCTTAATCATTGCAATTATAGTTTTACTATTATAAATATATCAAATATAAAAGATATCTTAAGCAATCAACATTCATCTATTGAGCAATATGTTTGGACATTTAAATTTTTTTACATTTCATTCATCCTTCTATTATAGAGTAGTGTTTGTAAGAAAAAATTGGTTTTGTACCGATTTAACGATTCCATTTTCCGTAAGTGGAAGACTTGAGAAATTTTCAAAACCATTTTAAGGTGAATACTAAACTAATTCTATGTGTTATATGTTGAATAATTGAGTTTAAGTAACTCAAAGGTTGTAGGGTTCACAAGTATTACGATTTAACAAATATTTGGACAAATTAAACAAGGCATAATCATGCATTATGTATGCTAGAATTGTAGGACTAGTTGGGGACGAGTAGGAAACAATGAAACTAAATTTCGAGTTCGAACGAGCGCGTACCAGCTCCCAGCTGCGCGCCATGCCCCGTCGCGGGCGCGATAACTTGTTATACGCTGTGGAAAGACGAGACAGGGCGTTGCGGGCGCAACGAGCTCGCGATGCTAACGAATCTTTTCAGTCTAAAAAGGTTTCTACTCAGTTTTGGACGACTGAGCACGTCCCAAAAGGTATCTTTTGATATCTTGAACCCATTGGAGTTGTGTTAGAACATCTGTAAATTCTCATAAAGTGAAATGGTTACATACATAAAATTTTTAGGAGCTCTTGCATTTTTTTTTTTTTAAAGTTCATAAAGCATATTGTGTTCTTTGAATTTTTCGTTGTGCCTTGAGTATTCCAAACAATAGTATTGTTCGCCGAAGGTTTGTATATTTGAAGTACAGCTATATACATAATTCTATGTGTTATTTGTTGAATAATTGAGTTTAAGTAACTCAAAGGTTGTAGGGTTCACAAATATTATGATTTAACAAATTTGGACAAACTAAACAAGCCATAATCATACATTATGTATGCTAGAATTATAGAAGGACTAGTTGGGGACTAGTAGGAAAAAATGGAACTAAATTTCGAGTCCGAACGAGCGCATACCAGCTCCCAGCGCCCAGCGCCCAACTGCGTACCAGGCCCCGTCGCAGGTGCGACAACTTGCTATACGCTGTGGAAGACGAAACAGGGCATCGCGGGCGCAACGAGCTCGCGATGCTAACGCACTTGTTCAGTCTAAAGTGGTTTCTACTCGGTTTTGGACGACTTGGCACGTCCCAAAAGGTGTCTTTTGATATCTTGAACCCTTTGGAGACATGTTAAAACATCTATAAATTCTCATAAAGTAAAATTGTTACATACATAAAAATTTTAGGAGCACTTGCATTTTATTTTCAAAGTTCATAAAGCATATTGTGTTCTTTAAATTTTTCGTTGTGCCTTTAGAGTATCAAACAATAGTATTGTTCGCCGAAAGCTTGTATATTTGAAGTACCGCTATATACAAGTCGAAAGTCGTTGTAGAATAAGAATAATAAAATTAACATGAAAATATGCTTTTTATTTTTAATATTTGCTTTTACGTCCATAAATTTATGTGTAAAATATATCTTTTGTCATTTTCTTTCATGTTATATCATATGTTTTTATCTATTATTTGTTTTTCTCATCTCTCCTACTTGATGGTCTATTTTTTCCAAAAAAAAGGCATTTGAGTAGTTTTACATGCCATGTTTATTGTTTAATATATATTTTCTATATTTATGTTATGTCAACTTTGTTTATTATGATATGTAGTTATGTAATTAGTAATATGAAAATGATATACATTTAGAATTGTTGTAAATTTATATTATGATACTTTATACTTAATCTATATGTTGTAAAATTGAAGATAGTACTTAATTCAAATATATTTTAATTCATCTTAACGAAACGGTTTGCATCTCCTTTAATAATTTTTCTTTTATTGATAAGTCAATATTTTGTTTATCTACTCAAATCTATGTTGTTTAGGTTTTATTTTTGAAAGAGTTTTGTTATTGTTAGAATCCTATTTTATTGTGGTACACATTTAATTGTGATTAATTCACTGAGATACTTGTAGTATTAGTGTATTACAATTTCGTCATTAAAAATAATATAAATATAAAGACCTTTTAGTCTATACAATTTTTTACAAAACCATTCTTCTTTTTTAATAGAGATTGAGAATGATTAAAATTTGAGTCAATAAAATTTGGTGATATACGCTATTATTGTCCATTCGTTGTCCTTTTATGTGTTAATTACTTGTAAAGTGGTGTACAAATACCCTAGTGTTCTAAAAGTCGCTTGGCGCCAGCTAGTTGTTGGACCAATGTCTAGCGCCTAGAGCACCTAGACGGGGTCAATATTAAATATTTTTTATACTTATTTACCTACAAAATAAAATTACATCAACTTATAATAAATTCATACACATGAGAACAAAATAATGTAATTAGTATTTAAAATAAAAAACTAAAAAATTGGCGTCGAGCCCGCCTAGGAGCACCTAGGTGCCTACTAACCGCCTAGCCGCCGAGCCTGCCAAGTCTGCCTAGGAGCACCTGGGGCTGCCTAGACGCCGCTTGGCAAATTTGTGCAAATCAAAGGCTGCTGGGCACGGCGTCGCCTAGGCCGATTTTTAGAAAAGTGAAAAATATGACCCCAAAAGTATGGAATGAGAGTTTATTTATTTATTTATTTAAGGAACACCCCGAGAGAGAGATAGAGAGTTAAGTACTTGTAAACTAGTGTGCATATACCCATGAAAATATGACCCCAAAAGAATGAAATGAGTGTTTTTTTTTTTTTTTTAATGAAACACCCCGAGAAAGAGAGAGTTAATTACTTGTAAACACTGTATGGAATGAGAACTCAACTATAATACTCTGCTTTCTTACTAATATCAGAGTAAATTTTACGCAAACTTATTTCGAAACCACTTATATTTCGAAATCGTTTTAACTTAACTCGGGATGCTACTGAAAAACCTACATGTTCTGAAAAGTCTGTTTTCCTCTAACTTGTCTAACTACTAGTTTAGACATAAAGAAAACAAATATTTTAGTCAACCTAGCATGTACTTAACCAGACAAGGCTAGTGATCCGGATAAAATCTGAAAACTGGCATGCAAGTTCGAAAATTAAAAACTGAAAAGTAAGCGGAAGTAAATATTCGTGGCGTAATAAAATATACAGACTGATGTATATAAATATCCCACAAAAATGGCAAGCTGGCCAAGTACACGACCACGACCACTCGAGCTAATCTCACGCCTCCCTGCCGACCATGTTACCTGAAAAAGATAAAGTAGTGGGGCGTGAGCACGAAAGTCCACTGTGCTCCGCAGAAACCCATACTAAAGTAAACAACAATAATAATAATAATATCATGATCGTCAGCATATATAAACTAAACTGAAACTGTACTGAAATCTCCCGGCAAACTGGGCCGGTAACCATGTACACACTCTAGTGGAATATTAAGGCACACTGGGCCACCACCAGAACTTAGGAAGGGCACACTACCATCCTAAGCGGATACTGTAAATGTACATACCTCAGGACATGATATCATATAGTATAGTCAATGTAATACTCAGTCTGAGCCCCCACCAGTACTGCTGAAAATAAAAATGGTAGTGCTGAACTGGAATAGCTGTCTCCTCAAGCTACATAAAAATATAAGCAATTAATATATGTTGTGCATGTGACTGATACCCACATTAAGTCAGTAAGACAGTAACTGATATAATTAGGAAGATCATACTAGTCATCCTAAAAAAAAGCTTTCTGGTTAGCCAAATTGGTTGGTCAATCATATTTTCTAAGCAAAAGTGTGTACCTATTGTGAAATGTCAATGTAGAGAGGCTATGGATAATACATGATCCTTGTTGTGCTAGTTTCTTTATAAATAATTCATAAGCATAAATTTTTTTCTGCAGAACATACTGAATTCTTCCAAGAAGTCGCAGTTCATATATACACAAGGAAAATATCTGGAGAACCTAGCAAAAAACACTAATACCACGAATAAATAATAAAACACCAAAAACAGATCCCCCAAACCGAAAATCAAACACCATTGCTAATAAGGAGCTCAACAAGCTCAATCTTTTTCAGTTTCGAGTAACCCTTGATTCCTTTAGACTTTGCAACTTCTTTCAATTTAGCGAGTTTCATTTTTTCAAATTTCTCTACTTCGTTGCTATCTTCATTGTCTGTTGTTGGAGACCGTCGAGTGAATTGTGAAGGCTGCCTCATCTATTTAAGTTCAGTAGTTTCCTTCTCTTTCTGTGGAGAATTCTTCTGCAGGCTTACTAATTTATCCCCTTTGTTCACCGTAGTTTTTCCTGCCAGGGAGCACAAACCACAAAGGAACTAAGTTCAAATCAATAAAGATGACGGATTAATAATCACAATTATCTTTTTCAATTCACATGTTTAAAGCACCAATAAAGATGACGGATCAGCAATCAAGGTCGAACAAAAATAGGCTAAAGGACCATTACGCATAGCTAATAAGACCGCCAAAAATGACACCCGAACAATGAAAGATGCCACTAGACCATTAATTTTTTGGCATACTGATCAATGGAAAGGGGAGTGTTACCATAGGGGTAAACCCGCAATTTAAATGATTCATCATGGATGCCGAGACTTTTCAAGCTGCGGTCCTCACAATCGTAAAGCAGCAGGTCACCAATGGAGTCCTGAATGAGCACTTTATCATTCTTGTAGAGACCGATTATCGCATGTCGAGCATCACAGTCAGTAGGAACCTCAAACTCGTCCACACAGGACCAATCGTCATTCCCCCACACCCAAATCTCAAAACAAGGCTTCTTCTTCTTCTTCTTTGTATACGGCTTATTAAAATCGTAAACAATAGCCGCGAGCGACCCGTGAAACTCAGCAAGAACAACTCTCACATTGTACCCAAGCTTTTCGCTAACGGGCATAGGGATAAGATCAGGCAGAAACTCCTCATTAGCAAAGTCAAACGGAATAATAGCGTAAAAGTTCTTGTTAAAAATATGACGAGTTAGCCAGTAATAAAAGCCATTTATGTGAAGAGCAAGTTTTTCAATGGGTTGGAACTCAGGATCATAAGGATACGGAATCTCCTTCCACGAATCGGTTTGGAGGGACAACACCTCAGAGCGGATTCCAAAGTCGAAATTTTGAGATCTGACTACCTTATAGTCCCCGGATGGACGAGGATCAAACCCCACGCCGAAACCCCAACATACAGGCCGGAGTTGAGGCCTTATAGTCCCCGGTGGAGATTTGACTACCTTATAGTCCCCGGTTGCAGAAAGAGGAAGGGGTTTCGTCTCGTCGGTCGTAGGATCCCAAAGAAGCTCGTACGAAGGTCCAGGCCCTTTTTGACATGTCAACAACATCCATTTGTAGTTGGAACACGCTCGAACGATATAATCGGCGCACCTAAACCCGTAATTGAAATGTTCAGCTCTGAGTAACGATAAGTTGGGAAGCGTATCTGGTACTACCACTCGGAACGAGTTGTTTTCCGTTGAGATTACGCTGCAGTCGCAGGTTTTTTCGTTGAGTACTCGCACCATAAGCATAAGATTTTTGTTGTTGTTGTCGTCGTGCTGCTTCAAATTGGGGGAAAGCGCCGGCGCCGTAGTAGTGATAGGAAAACGATTGGAAATAGTGGAGCTGAGATTTGCGGGGAGAAATTTGAATTTGGATTTGGCGTTAGCGAGTAGATTGGCGGTGGCGGAGAATCCTCTCATGGTTACGTCTGCGGAAGAAGAATGACGAATAACAAATTTTGTATTTCAACATACTTGTATTTTAAGTTTAACACTCATTCTACATTTCTAATAGACCCAAAGAGTGCAAGCACAACGGCCCAACCCACCCTACTGTTGCATAACATTTAATGGATTGTCGTAGGCCCGACCATGATAAAAATATAACCATGTATCCGATGCTAAAAATAATTAATAATAATAATAATAAGAAATAAACAACCATTACTCAATAAGTACATTGCGCGATTGCTGCCTTGCGGCGGTCAAGGCTGAGACTGGTGCTTTGTCTTTCCTCGGTTTCTATCCTATCTCTGGTGTTGTATTTGTTGGTTTCTCTGGGAACGACTGTCATCTCCGATCATCTGGGTTGCGGTCGCCGGTTGTTTGGGGAATATTTTGGTTGCATAGTCTCCTGGTGTTGACTCGATGGTGACTATTGGGGAGGTTTTTTGGTCTGTTGGTAAGATTTTAGTTAACTGTTAGGGGAATTTCTAGATTGTGTTGGGCCTTCTTGGGTGATCACCTTGAGTATTGTTTCGAGGAGGGATGATTTGGAGTGGTTTATTGTCTGATGGCGGCGAGGTCCTTATTCTAGCTATTATGTTTTTTTTAATTTATGTGTCTGTTTTGTATTGGATACTTTTATATAAAAGTATAATTTTACAATAAATTATACTTTTATATCTTTTCGTGACAATTATAGTTTTATTATAATCAATCAACATTCATCACTTCGCCTTTCCCCTTTCTCTGCTCTGCGACTCAACCCTAATCGCCGCGCCTCGTCTCTGTGATTCACCGTCGATTTGCCTTCCTCAGTGACGGCGGGGCCCGGCCAGCGGTCGCCCCTGGCCGCTCGTCCTGCCTTGGATGTCGTGCGCCCTGATTTGCTGCGGTTCTGCTGCGTTCGCTACCCTCCAATCGACGGCGAATTTGAGTCTCGAGAGGTTGTCCCCTTTGTTGGAGTCCAGTCGGCGATGGTTTGTTTCCTCCCGGCCACCGGCGGACCCCCGATTAGTGATGGTAAGTGCCTCTCGCTCTCTCTTCTTTGCCGGCTGTGGAGTTCCTGTTGGTCATCTCCGTTATCTCCGGCGGAGCTTCCAGTGGGTGGTTGTTGGCCGCCGGAGTACTGCGGTGGAGTTAGGCAGTGTACGGGTCTGAGGATGGGGGAGGCCTCGACTGCTGCGACGTCTCCTGTTGTGGCGGTCGGGGGCTGAGGAACCGTACCACCTATCCCCTTCCCCTTTTCGGCTAGTGGTGTTAGACGGAGGGGGTCCGGGAACCTGATTCTCTTGAGCTCGGCTAGTGGAGTTAGACGGGTTCGGGAGGGTGGGGTTGGTTGGTTGGTTTTCTCTCGGTTGGGTGTGGGTCGATTCGGGAAATGGCTCGGGGCTCGGTTTCGACTACTGTATAGGCGGGCTCGCAGTTTCGGTAGTGGTTTCTCGAGCTTGGAATCGTTCTTGTGTCGATTGTTTGCTGTTGGTTGGGGCTGCTCGTTTACTGGGGAAGGGCTTTAATTGTTGTTAGTATAGTTTTCTAGTTCTTGTTTTGTGTTTTTTGTATCCGTGTTTGTGTTGTATCAGTGTTTTAGGTTTGGACAGTTGTCTCTGTGAGCCCGAGTGTCAAATTGATTACTCCGTTGGGGTCCGACACTAGGGTATTACCCTGTTGGGGTCCTTGTAGTTGTTTTTAGTTGATTGTGTTGTTTGTAGTAGTTTCTAGTTGGTTAGTTTAGTTGCGAGTGTGTATTTTCTTCTAGCGTTGCTAGTCGGGATTCTAGGCAGGCTTCTGACCTGTCCTCCCACTTTTTCAGCTGTTGGCTGCTGTGTATTCAGTCGTTGGCTGCTGTGTATTCGCACATTTGTGCATTTTTGATTTATAAAATTATCTGTCGTTTCGGCCAAAAAAAAATTATTAATTTTCTTCATTTATTATAAAACATATAATAATGTATAAGAAATTATTTAAATATATTTTTATATTTCAACATTTTTTAATTAACAAAAATTAAAAACCACGAAAATATAAAAAAAATACAAATTAATTTATATGTACAAATAGTTAGAAATGCAATTAGAATTTATTATTATTTTTTTAGAGGTTAGAAATTATTGTATTATAGATTAGAATTGATTATGTTATAAATTAGAATTTATTACTATTATGTTAGAAGTTAGAAATTATTATGGTATATATTAGAATATATTACAATTTTCATGTTCATTTAGTTAAATTTAATTATTTATCAGTTTAAGATAATAATAAGTTTAATTAATGATAATGTGATATTCATCTTGACATACATAGTGAAAGTGTGTTAAAGCATGAATCATTTAGTCTCACATTGATTTTGAAAGCAAAAAAGAATGCAAAAAGTAGCTATAAAGGTTTGAGACAATCCCACATCGATTACAAACACAATAATAAAGGCCAAGAGTGGCTATAAAAGGTTGGGTGGAATAGGTTGGTTTCCATTTCAGATGGAGGAATAATTTTCTAACCAGAGATCACAAAATCGAAAGGGGGAACACAACACAACTCTTATCATATCATTACGGGCCAGAATATCTCAAAGGAAACACAATTTATTCACTAATCACACTTTCAACATAAGAATCAACTAAAAAGGGAGCTTTTTTTACGTGCTCTGGACATAAGGATAAACCCTGAGAGAAGAACCACGAATGCCGAGATCCTTCAACTCCCGGGCATGACAATCGTAAAGCAGTAGAGAACCCTTTGAATCCTGAAACAGAGCTTTATCATTCTTGTATAGCCCCAATACACTTTCAACACAAACATCATCATCATCGAAACTGTACGTGGAATAGAGAGACCACTCGGTGTTCGATTTCCATATCCAAATCTCAAACCCAACACTATCACAGAAAATAGCGGCAAGCGACCCATCAAACTCGACAATGTGAAAACAAGACATGTTAAAGAGCCTATCGCTCTTAGGAATCATAGGGATGAGAGATGGAAATTTCTCATTAACAAAGTCAAACGAAACAACTGAGAGATCTTCCGGGGTATCATCTTTGCCAGACAGAGCTCTATACTCGGAATGTAACCGGCTAGCTATCCAATAGGTAATTCCATTTATGTGAACATGTTTTCCCATAAAGGGTTCGATGTTGGGAAAATGAGGATTCGGAATTACCTTCCAAGAACCAGCTTTGAGCGAGAACAACACAGCGTGAGGTTCATCATCATAGTACTCCATATGCCCAAATTGGATCACCTTATAGTCCTCAGATGTAGGATCAAACCCTAGGCCCCAGCAAATCCAATCGAAACGCAACCTTGATCCATCAGGCAGGAGAGGCGGCCAAATAAATAAAGGAAGGGGTCTCACCTCGTAGGTCGTAGGATTCCACAGGAGCTCATATGTATATGGATATTTACCAACCGCTTTACAAGTCAAAAACATCCATTTGTTGCAGCTCTCTAGGACATCGTAATAAGCTTGAGCTCTGAGCATAGAGAAATTAGGGAGATTTTCGGTTACTACTTTGAACGAGCCGCCTTCGGTTGAGATTACAGAGTAATCACGAGTTGCGCTGCTGCTGACATGCTCCACCGCGAGCATGAGACTTTTGTTGCTGGTGATGTTGGCGCCGCCAGGCTTCAGATAGGGCGGATGCCACCACGAATGTACCAGGCAAGTACCGCCGGAGGCCGGAACATCGGGGACAATCGAAGAAGAATAACTTGCGGATAGGAATTTTTTATATCTGTATTTGGCGTTGGCCACGAGATTGGTGGTGATTTTGAGGATTCCCATGGCGGAAGAAGGATGGGTAGCTGCCGCACACCCCTGTTTGAAAACCCAAGCTCTCTCTTACTACAAATTAAGGCTATTTCATAATACTCGGTTTAATGGACCCCAAAAGTAAAAGTTTAAGGGCCCAACCCAATCCACTGACATACAAAATTTAGGGAAAATTTTATCTTTACTTAACGGTTTGAAAATAATTGTAAATATATCACGGACAAATATTTTATTGCATTTGTACCAACTACATGACAATTAATTGAAAAAATGCTAAGATTCAGTTGCCAAACTGAAATGTGAACGGCTCCTTGATTTGTGGAGGCCACATCCAATGCCTCTCTCTCTCCTTGCATATATACACATGATAAGTCAATCTCTCCTATTAATTAGGATTTTGTTCAATACAAATATGAAAGATTATGAATTTGAATTATAAATGACTTTTTATACACAAATCCCATGATATTGAAAACCTATTTCGCCCAACACGCGTATATTTCGACAATTTTTTTTTTAATTTTTAAATCTCATCATGTTAATAGTGTATATTAAACGTTATATTCAGTATATGTATACATTAAACTATAATGCGTTTATAGTTAGTATATATTCAGTATATGTTGCAATAATCTTCTATTATACCAAAACAACAAAAAAAAAAAAACAAATTGCTGAAGGCAATCAGATAAAATTATGTATATTAACAGTATACAAAACAAGTTGAAATCGTACTCATGTGCATATACTAAAAATATACTGTCAACCTTAACATATACTCAAAAACAGTATATTTGTTGGGAACATATACATAAGATATACTCATTGTATGTGGTCGACATAAGAGAAAATACACAACAGATATTGAGAAGATAAATCAATGTTGTCATTATATACAGAATATATACAAAAAAAAAATATTCGGCCACGTTCGGCCAAAAATCATATCCAACGACCGTCATAGCCACCACGACACGATCCCCGCGGGCTCCGACTGTCAGCCACAATGACCCGACCACCACCACAGACCACCACCACGACACGATCCCTGCGGCCTGCGTCTATCTCAGCTAATTGATCCTCATAATACATCTCGAACGTTAATAATAAATGCACAATAATAATGAAGCCGAACCAGATGCCACTTCCTGATGAGATAAAATTTGGAAAAATTAAAATGAAAAATCTCATTTGTTGTTAACGAAAAAAGAAAATTCATTCGTGTCGAAATTTGAGCGTTTATGAAATTAATAAAGGAAGCACCTGATTGAGAGCCTTCATGGTATTTTGGGGTTGATCGCTTCAAGATAGTTGGAACGCAGGAATTGAAATAGGTTTCTTATGTCTTGGAGTTGAAGAGAAAATTTATTTAGCCACATGTATAGTTGGGCCTGTAACTTGAGTCGAAATTGTGGGTTTGAGCCCGATGTTAATCTTTTCCGGCGACGCATAGCATTGGTAAGAAGAAGAAGAAAAATTGTACTGAAAGAAGAAGAAGAAGGGCACAAGGTGTAGTTCGGTGAGGCTATGAGTAGTGGTGGAGTGGAAGTTAGGAGATGGGAAAAATCAACTCCACA